CCTGAAAAGGAAGAAGCGTGTACAGAAAATGGATGGATGGATGGATAGTTTCGTACAACAGGCCCCTGGAAGTCAACTGGATAAAATAAATAGTTTCACAGTAAKAACTAAAGGTAACAGCAGAGGGCGTCCAAACCTCACAGGAGAGACCCAGAGTATTTATTTGGGTCAGTACCACAAACTGTGTAGGGAAACCATCAGCAGGCCATCTGTAGGCAGCCCACAGTGAGTCAGTGGAGGGCTTTCTCTCTYACTGACAAGAGCAACAAACTCATGTTGAGTTATGAGGTTTTGACTCTTAGTTTTATTATAACCTACACGTAACTTAATTTGGTTTTATTTTAGACTCATTTTTACTTAGTGAAAACACTGATGAATTGTATTTTCCCTCCACGGACCTTGTGTTGATGTCAGGAGCTTTGGTTTCAGCCTGACATCACACTGAAGGATGAAGATGAGTTTCTCTCCGCGCTTCCTGCGTCCACACCTGCCTTCGCTGCGCACGTCGCGCTGCACAGAGAGGAGAGGAGCGGGACGTGAATCATGAGCAGATCTCAGCTGGAAACCCTCGGGGGGCTGGTCTGCTAAAAAAAAAAAAAAGAGGCACATTTATTGAATTTCAAACAGAAAATAAAAGATAAAGAGATGTTGCCGGGGAAACGAGCGAGCAGGAAGTGAAGGAGGACAGCGGAGCGGGGAAGGGGCTCTCCCTGCGAGCCTTCCTGGAACCTGGCGGCGCTCCATGGGGGGAGAAGGAGACGSGCTCACCGGGGAGGAAAATGCTCAAAGTTTGTCGGCGTTGTCTACAAGTGCAAGCCCGCAGTAGCTGTAGGACATGAGCAGAGATTAAATAAAGAATGCATGTCGTTTGGGATTTCTCTGTGATTCTGCAGTTCTGTGCGATCTGCGCTTCGACAGGTGAGGACTGTTCGCTCCATGATAAAATACATTTCTGCAAGAAAACAAGTGAGGACCACAAAATGGCTTATCAAAGACAATGTTTTGATTTGTGACTATTAGGTCTGAATAAAACACGTGATTAGGTTGAATAAAAAAACTTCATTGAAACATTTCTTTGCTGTGATCAGTGGTAGTACATAACAGCTCAGTAATTTCAGATTTCTTTAGTTAAATACATATTTTTACACAAAATGTACCTTTTGTCACCAGTCCTAACACCACTAAGATTGATATTAGACTACTTAATTTTTATTACTTAGACTAGACTATTGATTCTCATTAAACTAGACCAATAGAATAGTCTTTGGTTCCCAAAGTTGGGCTTGGGACCCAATTATGGGTCGTGAAGCACCTTGGATAATCTCCAGAAATCAATTTAAAGGGTAATAAAATAATTGCTGATGTAATATTTTCCCTATAACTATTACAAAAACACAAAATAAGTATAAATAAGTATTTATATTTGTGTACAAGCTGTTTAGATTGTCAAAAAGCCTGTGTTTTTAGGGTTATTAACGAAGTTCGTGTACTCAGACCAGTAATATTTGGGGTCACAAGTTTTTGCCATGGATATTTTGTGGGTCAGAAGAAGAAAAGTTTGGGAACCACTGGACTGGTGAGTCTGACACTATTAAAACTAGGCCACTGACAATACTGGGTCTAGAACAGTGATGCTATTGAAACTAGACTACTGACACTAAGACAAGTCTGTTGATGTTAATATGACTAGCACTGACTCTGGACCAGTGGCACCCAAACATTTCCCCCAAGAGGGCCAAAATGAAAATTGATCCAAGGTTGCAGGCCAAATACAGTACATGCAATACAAATAATTTTTAAGTAAAGTGCTTTACTTTTAACAATTAAGCTAGCAGCCAGTGTGGTGGCCTGTTTTTTGTTTTAGTCTGTGCACTTGGAGAAAGTCTGCCATATGTTCAAGTAGCAAAGGCTCATGGGACATCCAATAAATTGATAACGTATTTGTGTCCTTATAAAGTGTGCAAATCTACATGTGGGGTTAAATCTAATCTAAATATCTCTTGTTGTTACTTGTATTTCAATGTGTTTCTACATCCGACAGCAGGTTACAATTGCTGGTGGGCCAAATCAAATGGCTTGGCGGGCCAAATTTGGCCCACGGGCCCCACTTTGGGCTCCTCTGCACTAGACTATTAGCACAATAGAAATGAAACAACTGGCTCTAATGAGACGAGAGCATTGGGCCTCATGCAAGAACCGTTCGTACGCACAGATTTGTTCTTAAATTGTGCGTACGAGTGATTTAGGAGAATTTGTGGCATTCACCAATGTTTTCGTATTCCACGATTTTTTTCAGATACGAACGAGTGGTCCAGACCTGTCGTACATTTTACGTGACGTCAGTCTGCTGTTATCCAGACGGGTTTTCTTCATTAATAACTTTAC